CTTGGGTTGGAAAATTTCTTTGCCATGTGGTGTTGTCCTGTGCATTCTAGCACATTTCACAGTATCTTTGGTGGCACTTTAGAAGAGGTCACAGCACATTTTCCCAGTGTGAAAACCAGAAATGCACGCTAGGGGTCAAGAGACCATCACCTTCAGTTAAGAATCATTAGGTAGCTTCTAAGGCTTCTCTCAGCCCCAGCATCCTCTGATTCTCCAAGTAGGAAAAGCAGCAGCAAAAGCAGCACCTACAGAGGTGCTCCTCCACCACCTGCTGGCCACCCAGATTCTGGTCCTGTCCAAGTTGGGCCTCCCACCTGGCAAAGAGCTGGATACACACAGGTGCTGGCCTGGACTTGGCTCAGAGGCTCCAACTAGCGGAAATGGCTGGAAAACAAAAATCAAGTCAAGGCAGAAGCCAGGTTGTGGGACCATCACGGTCCTGCATGGAAAGCTGCAGGCTTCTTTAGATCAGGCTTTCATGGTGGGGGGCAATTTTGATGCCGTGGACACACAATACCTGGAGAGATTTGGGGTTGCCCGAACTTGCAGAGGGGGTGCTGATGGCATCTGGGTGGTAGAGTCCACGGGTGCTACTCAATACCCCACTACGCACAGGACGGCATCCCCTGCCTAGTTTAGAAATTCCCAGCCCAGAAGGTCAATACCATGGGGTAGAGACATCACCTCAATGTAAGTACTGCGCTTCTCAGATTGCGCCTTGTCTGAGGTAGGGCCTGACCCCCGCCTTGGGGCACAGATCCACTAGGGTGCCCACCCTAGGAGCCTGTGGGTATGTCCCCAGCTCTACAGAAAAGGATGTTTTGTTCCCCCAAGAATGCAGAGCAAGAAAAAGACCTTGAAGATCTCTTAATGAAACCCATACAAACTAATGCTATTTGACAGGCCAAAAATTTTAATTTATTGAATTTAGGAGCCCAGATTTACAAATTGGGAAATGTTGATATTTTTTGAAATGTAAATTTCTTTTTTTAACTTTATTTTAAAATAAATTTTATCTTATTTTATCCCATCTCCCCTCAAGCCCCCTCCTCTCCTTATGTACTGAAGCTTTGTTTCCAGTTTTTCCTTCTACTTTCACTTTTTCTTGTCCCTTCCTTCCTTTCTCCCTCCCTCCTCCCTGTTCCCCTTCCCATTGGAACACTTGCTTCCAGTTTCCCAACATCCATTATACATCTCAGTCCGCATTTCCACATTCAGTTTCTCACACCGGAGAAACAACGTGGTAATGTAAACGTGTGTGTCTGATTTATTGAAGTGAGAAGTTTGAACTTCCTGGAATTATCAGGAGATCCTTGGGAGCTGCCCTTAGGTTGGACAGACAGGTTTACCCATACCTCCAGCGAATACTTACTGAGTACCTACCCTACAGCGACCCTTGTCCTGGATACCAATCATGTACACGGCAGTGACGTAGACAGAAGTCAGCATCCCCAGGGAGCTGATGGCCAGGTTTTACGCATGAATGATCTGGTTCGATGATGGTTCAATTGCAACTGCACAAGCTACTTTAATTTGGGGAAACTGAGGGCCAGAGAGAAAGTAACTTGCTGATGCTTGTTCAGCAATCCATGGCTGACATCGAGCTGGACCAGAGCCCTCTGATGCCCATTCTAAGGACACTCATTGAGCCAGGCTAACTTCCTGCCTCCCATGACCCTGTCCCTTCTCCACAGACCCCTTCAGAGGAAGGGCTTCCCCAGGGTTGCCAGGACCCCTTTGCTCCTGCCAAAGTATGTCCCACGGTGAGCTGCCAAGGCCACTAGCTGTGAGGAGTGGCCTTTCCTGCCTCAGTGATGTCCACAAGAATGCCCATGGCAGCAGCTACCAGCCCTGTGCTGCCTGCCCAGCTCACTCGGTGTCTGATTAGTCCACACTGGGGACAGAGGTCAGTGTCCAGCCCCTGCCTCCCCTGCAGCCTGGATTTCCAGATAGACAGCCCTCCTGCTAACCTCCCTCAGCATCTGCTCAGTGGGCTGTGGAGTTTGGGAGCCTGTGCTGCCCACACTTCCAGAAGCTGCTTTCCCAGGCCAGGTCCATCCTGATGCGGAGGGATGGCATATGACAATGATACATCTCCTCTCTGTTTGGACTTTACAGAGCTGTCAGAAGAAGCCTGCAGTGACCCAGATGGCTCCATGGAGCACAGAGATGCATGGGCCCAGAACACCCAGGTTCTGGTCTGAACTCCTCTGGGCGCTGATGGATGCACTCATGAAGGCTGTGGTGGCCAAGGACTTTGAGCTGGGGCTCTAGTCTTGTCTCACTTTCTGGAGGCCAGGAGTTTGGGCTCCATGCATGGCTTCCTGTGAGGCTATGAGGGGAAACCAGCCCAAGCCCCTCCTCTAGCTCTAAAGACTGCAATCACTGCTGTCATCAGCTACAGAAGCCCCACCTTCAGCCTCCTCTGTGTGTGTGCGCCTCTGTGCATATATGATTGTGTGTGTTTCTGTGTTCACATTCACCTGTTAAAAAGAACACCAGTCATATCATGTTAAGAGCCTGCTACAGTTCAGATATGAGATGGTCCCCAAAAGTCTCACGTGTTCAGAGGTGGAGCTTTTGGAAGATGAATGCATCACGGGGGCACTGTGCTTGTCAGTGGATTCATCTGTTGATGAGTTCAAGGCCGGTGTGCTATTAGGAGAGAGGGACTGGTCGAATGGGTTAGGTCATACCACGAGTGTGACCTGAAAATGTGTGTTCTTGTCTCTAGCTCCTTCCTTCTCTCTCTGCTTCCTGGCTGCCATAAATGGATCATTTTCCTGCTATGACACCCTTCCACCATGATGTTTCTGCCTTGGAGCCACTGACATGGACTGGATCCTCTAAAACTGCGAGACAAAATAAACCTCATCTCCTTTAAGTTGTGGATGTTAGGTATTTTGTCCCAGTGAGGGGAAAATGACTGACATGGGACCAACCCTGCTCCAGAGTGACCTCATCTTAGCTAACAGAACCTGCAAGGACCCTGTTTTCAACTAAGGCCACACCCTTCTACATGGATTTGAGGGGGACACAGTTGAGCCCCTACACTAGGTGTGGGTTGGGACCTCTCCCTGAGCCTCAGTCCCTCTGCTGTGGAGTGGGCATGCCCATACCCACATCCCAAGCCACTGTAGTCATCTCATGAGTTTCCGTCTGTGAAGAACTTAAACCTGGTATCTCATTGGTGTCATACAAATATCAACTGCTGTCACCATGTTTCACCTATGCCACAAGTCTGTGCTCTGGTGCAAGGGTCACACCTGCACATTCCTGTCTGGGACATGGCCTAAACAAGGCTGATGGGGGTGGAGAGCAGGCAGGTGGATGGGAACAGTCCTCATTTAAAGTTGCTTCTGCATAACACTTAATGCGCTGAGCAAAACCCCCTTTGCCTGGGGCAAGACACACCCGCTGAGGCTAGAGCTCTTTGCTGCTCTTGACTTTGATGGAAATAAGTCTACCTGTCTGGGCCTGGCTTGGTGACGCCCTCCTGGAACAGATGCAGAGGAGACGCACCTGACTTTCTCCTGGGACACTTGAGGTCAGCGCAGTTTGCCTGGCAGCTGTTGTTTCTCCCCTGCCTTCGTTATTACGTCCAGCTTCTCGTGACCCCATCTCTTCTGTCCTTTTCTTATAAAGAACCTATGAGACTTTTAGCACCCACCCAGATAACTCTGGATAATCTCCCCATCTCTAGATCATTAACATAATCACATGTGCAAAGTCCCCCTTCTCATAGCAAGTGTGGTGCACAGAATCCAGGTATTGGAAGGCAACCTGTACATCTACATCCACCCCAGAAGTCTACATGAGGCCAGCCACAGTGTGGAGATCTCTAGTTAGTGACATAAGGGACTCTTACCTGCGTTACCTGGCTTCCCGGGAAAGAGCCAAACCGTGTTGGAGAACCCAGCTCTGCCCTCGCTATGGGCTGTGTGCTTGCAGCTATACTTGCCAACATGCCTACATCTGATTAACAGGCCAGACTTGGAGGCCCAGGGCACAGAACAGGGGTTGCTCACTGGGAGGGGCTCCTGCTCACATCTACATGGAGGCTGAGACCCCTGAGGACTGTTGTAAGGCAGGGTACCCAGATGTGCACATAGCATGGGGAAGGGCATAGGATCAACGCAAACTAGTTCGTACCATCCTGGGGCCAACCCTGCAGCCTCATAACTGGCTCCTGTACCAGGGGGAGGTCAGGAAAGAGTCCTGGAGGGAGTGCAGGCAGCAGCAGGCTGAATTTGAAGGTCATTTCGCCCAGGAGGTTTCTAGCTCCCACTTTGCTCAGCTAGCTGCACACCCCGCCTGCACCCACACCCCCAGCCTGTACTGGCTACACACAGGGCACAGGCTCAGAGACCTTGGGAAAGTAGCAAGGCCTGAGCCAGCGCCCTGCACCCATATCTTGGAAATGCTCTTCACAGCGTGGGACAGAAAAGGATAATCTGGCTGAGTCCTTAGAGATTCTAGCTCCTGCCTTCTCCTGGGCCTCGAAGTCAGCCCGTTGGACACAAAGACCCTCTTCCCCGCTAATTTCATGAGTGACTCAGATCATTCCTTTGGTCTTGTGGGCCTCATCTGGATTATTGGTGCCCAGAGGAGTGGCCCTAGGGATCCCTGTACCTCAGCTGTTGTGAGATTCTCTTTGCCTCGAGGTTGCCTGGTCTTGATCTGGTTTGCAGAGCTAGCCTTGGGGGATGGCTCAGCCTCACTCCTTTGCCCCATGGGAAACTGGGTGCAAGATCGGAACCTGGCAGAGGCTGGATTCCCCTAGCCCTTCTCCTGTAGAGCCAGGGAGTGGGAGCTTGAGGCTGTCACCCGCAGGCAGACTGTGCTAACTGGGCAGTCCCATGCCACGCTAGGCTTGTGTTATTGAGTGGCTCGGCTGGGCCTGGAGCTGGCCTGCTGGCTGGAAGCCTGCTGGGAGGGACAGGGCAGGTCAGGGCGTGGCCAGGGGAGGGCTGGGGAGGGGCTGCTGGTACAAATGCGTGCGCAGTCCAGCCCGCCCATCATCCCCTTCTGAGCCTGGTGGAGAGCCACCTCCACCGTGTTCACGTGGCTGTGGGACAGCGTGAGTACAGGTGCCGTGGGGGAGGTGCTGTGGGAGCCGGGTGCAGAGGAATCTTGGAGTATGGGCTCAGCGGTATCAAAAGTTCCGGGGAGACCCGGGACGGGCTGGGGTCTCTGGGGCTTCTGTGTGACCTTAGGCTGCGCTAAGGCTGGCTGAGCTTCACTTTCCTCCAGGAGGGGTAGGGCGTTCATGTGCCCTGTACGGGGTAAGGGTTCGATGTCGCGGGGCGTCTCACCCAGACACATGGGGTGCCCGCTGAAAATGTGTCGACGTCAGAGTGGGTGGGTGCTCCTCCCATCGGGTAGGCAGATGCAGGGACCCTGAGAAACGTCCTGCGTGCCAGGGACAGCCCCTCACAAAGAATGCCCCTGCCCCGAATGTCAGTAGGGCCGAGGATGAGAAACCCCAAAACCAAGATGTCTGGTGCACAGGAGGCACTCCCCGCCTGGACTCTCAGACCTTTAGAAATCAGCAAACTGCCCAAGGTGATTGGCTGCCCAGAAATAGGCAGCCCGGGCTGGAGCCTGCACACAAGGTGGTCAGGTCGGACGGCTACTCATGAGCTTCTGAAGCCTCTCGGTTGGCAGCTTTCCAGATAAATGGAACCCGAAAATAGGAATGAAATGGGAAACTGTTCTCCGAGTCCCAGCCGCTGCACAGGTCTGAAGCCGCAGCCTGGAGAGCAGAAGCGGGCCATCTGGGGGTGGCGGTCACATCTGGGGCACCAACCCGAGTGACGTTCCACCCGGAGTGCATGCGTCCAGGCTCACAGGTGTATCTCTAAGAGGCTTGGCTATTTGTCATCAGACCTCCACAGGGCAGGTGTTCAAAAGAAAGAGAAAAGGAGAAGCAAAAGAAAAAGAAGGAGCCTCGCTGAGTGACAGAAGGGAGTTCCTCCAGGGGGCCCGGTGGGAGCCTGGGGCTGGAGACAGCCCGGCATGACGTCCAGCCTGGCCCCACATCCTGCTCAGGGTCCAGGTTACACCTAACGTTCTGGCTCAGAGATGGAGATGGGCTCTGTTCATTCCTTCCTTCCTTCCTTCCTCAATGGTACGTGGTCCCCATTCCAGGATGGCAAAAGCTTGTGTAGAGAGCAGCGTGGACCAAATCCTCCCTGCTATGGGCACGTGTTCTCCGGGTTAGAGAGAGTGAGGCAAAAGAGGTCAATGACAGATGCGTGTATGGTTGCATAAAGGAACGAGCCAGCGACCTTGATGGAGAGTAAGAGTGGGAGAGAAGTGGGTCAAGCATGAGAGGGTGTCTCCAAAAGTGACAGTCCAGCAGAGCTGAAGCCAGTGCACAAGGTTCTTGGTGAGGAAGGCCGGGAGGGGATTCCAGCAGAGACAAGCAGGTGCAAAGGCCCTGGAGTGGGACAGAGCCTGCTGTGTGTGAGGAACTGGGACAGAAATGTGCTGTGCTCTTCCACTTCACTTAGCCTCAGTTTATTCATCTATAAGAGAACACCTACTTTTGGTGAGGATCAGATGTAGTAATATTTGTACAGCATCCGGTAAGTCCTTCCTCAGGACTTAATGCAAGAGGGGCCCAAGTGGAGCAAGATTGCTGGTCTCCGATCTTGCAGCCCAGGGGAGCCTGAGTAAGTTGTACCACCCAGAGCAGACCTGATTACCCAGGAGACCTGGGGGCCTTCTGCCTCTGGGTTTCAGGTGTTCGGGGATGTGCAGTATGGTGGCCACAGCTCTTATGGACCCGGCGCTGCTGAGGAAGAAACAGACCCTGGGAGGTGGAGAGGCCCAGCTCTGTCCCCTCTCCCCAGACGCTCTGGCGGTTCTCTGCTCCCTGAGAGCTGCTGGCAGCGGAATGGCTTCTGTGGGACAAGTTGATGCATAGATGCTTCTCACACTGCAGGAGGGGCCAGCCCATGCCGCTGGAACAGCCGAAAGGATACAAGATCACATCCCCCATACGTCTCTAAAGACCGCCAGAGACAGCTGTCACTGTGAGAGCAGAGCGGGGGAGTGGCTGGGGAAGTGGGAGTACTAGTCTGAGTTATCTGCAGACTGGGGCTCAGGGCAGTGGCTGCTGAGTCAGGGACCCCAGTTGCAGCAGGCTGCAGCACAGAAACAGAGAGCCCAGGGCCGTGGTGGAGTGGAACGGACATTGGTTTGGAAAAAGGCAGGAGAGTCAGAAGCAGATGGGAGTCCAGGCTGAGTTATAGACAGCAAGTGATCCAACCCCCCCAAGCCTCGGTTTACCCATCTGTAAAATGGAGCACTACCTGGGCCAGGCATGGCTGAAGGACCCAGTAGGTGAAGGCAGCCAGTGCCTAGCAGAGGGCATGACTGGCAACCACAGAGGTGGCCCATCTGCCTCCCAGTGCCCAGACAGAGTGCTTTTAACAAGCCTACTTCTCTGGGCCCTGTGCTCTCTGGAGACAGGGGCCAGGAGGGAGACCCACCTGAGCCACACAGCTCGTGCAAACACGACAGGCCTGCAGCCCCAGCCTGCCCCACCCATGGCCCCATCTGTCTTGTCCCTGGGTCTCCCCACACGGGCTATGCTGCAGCCATTTCCAGCCATTTCTGGGGTTTGGTTTGGTTTGTATCGTGTGACTGTGGCAGGCAGTCCTGGCACACCTGGGCCTGATGACCCCAGGATGTAGTACATGTTGGGGACAGAGAAAAACCACACAGATTAGGCTATTACTGGGGGCTCCTGCCTGGCTCACAGGACAGTGTGTGTGACACTGAGGAAACGGGTTGGATGGGGCTTTGCCCAGATGCTGCCAGCTGTCGCCCTGGCTCCATAGAGTGTGCTCTGGGTAGGGCGAAGCTCCGGGCACCACATGGGTGGTGGTGGGCTCACCCCAGCCCCCCTTGGTGTTATTGCCACCCAGTCTCCCAGGTGGGAAGGTGGCTCCAGAAGTGCTGACTTCCCCAAAGCACAGCGAGCTGGGATTCAAACCCAGGCAGCTGGCTCCAGAGAAAGCTCCTCACCACTCAAGGGCGCGGGTGCTGGAGGACTTGGGGCTGAGGTCAGATTGGGCAGAGTGGGCCAGGGAAGGTCCTGGGAGGCCTAGGGGAGGAGAGATTGAAGGCCCAGGAGGGAGCAAGGCCATCCCAGAGGCCCTGGAGGGACGTTGGCAAGTCTCACATCCTGCAGCTGGAGTCCAGGGCCAAGGAAGGGGCAGCAGGGTCAGTTTCTGCAGAGCCTCTCCCTTCGGCTTGCAACAGTGTCCTCTTGGGTGCCACCACAGTCTTCCCTCTGGTGTCTCTGCGTCCCAACCTCTTTTATTTATGAGGACATCAGTCCTGCTGGATGAGGGCCCACCCAGTGACCTTAAGTTCTCTCAGTCCACTCTTTTAAAGGCCTTGTCCCTGAATGCAGTCCATGGTGAGATGTTAGGGTGAGGATTTCAGCACAGGAACTCTGAAGGGCACATTGCGGCCCCTAACAGAAAAGGGGGGTGTTTGACATGTGCACGTGAAAAGGGAAAAGCTTCTCAGGCGGGACGGGGTCTCTGATGAGGGATGGGAGGGGCCTGGGGCAGCCCCCAAGGCAGGGGGAGGAGCAGGACCTGTCCACATCCTGGTGCTCTGCCTGCTGCAGAGTGCTCACTCACTGTGTGCTCAGTGGATTCCCTAGGACAAAGCCAGCCATGCTGAGGCCCCAGGGTAGAGGCTGGGACCACAAGGTCTTGCCAAAGGCTGGACCAAGACAGAATGGAAGGTGGGAGGCCATGCTGGGTGGCAGCTTCACGCTGTCTGGCAACCTCAGGCATGAGAATAGGGCAGAGCACCAGAGCCCTGCCACCCCAGCCCTGCCCAGCATGAAGGACTCCTGCCCCTTGGCCAGTCCTCTGCTGCAGGTCTTCACCTCCTCTGCCTTCTCCTTTTCCTCCCCACCATAGACATCCCCATCCCAAGTCTCCATCTTCCTGCCACTGCTGCCGTCCACACCCCACTGGAAACCCTGTGGGCGCCATCACTCCTCTTGGAGGCTGCATCGACCACCCTCCATGTTGGGTGACACAGGGACATCTCACTTGCCTCGCAGGTACCCTGCTCCCTTGGCCCGCACCCTCTCCAAGATCAGCTTCCTCCTGACCCTTCAGGACCAGGCAGCTGTGATGCAGCTCTTTCTGCTCTTGTGCCTGGCACTCCTCAGCCCTCAGGTGGCCACCTCCCGCCGCTTCAGGGCTCAGAAGAAGCAGCCCAAGGAGCCCAGCACCAGGGACTTTGCCTTCGATCTCTACAGGGCCTTGGCTTCCTCCTCCCCAACCCAGAATGTCTTCTTCTCCCCTCTAAGCGTGTCCACAATCCTGGCCATTCTGTCCGTGGGGGCCAGGGGCAACACCCAGGCACAGATCCTGGAGGCCCTGGGCTTCGACCCCCAGCACCAAGCAGTGGCCGAGTTACACTACAGCTTCCGGCATCTGCTGGTGAGGCTCACCCGGCCCGGAAATGGCTTCAAGCTGAGCCTCGGCAATGCCCTTTTCATCGACGACAGACTGGTCGTCTACAGCATCTTCCAGCTTATCATAATGACCACATACCTGGCCAACATTTACTCCACCCACTCTGGGGACCCTGCAGCGGCCCAGAAGCAGATCAATGACTATCTGGCCAGGCAAACCCAGGGCAAGATTGTGGACCTCATCCAAAACCTCGACAGCACCGACATCATGGTGATGGTGAATTATATTTTCTTTAAAGGTGAGGCTCCTGGGCTCAAACCAGAACTGCCTTTCTCTTTTCTGCTGCTGTGACCAAAATAATACCCATGTCCCTCCCACATGAAGGGAGAGGAGATCGCGTCCCTTCTAGGTCCTGTTGATGTTAATAGAGCAGCGAGCAACCACCCACAGGTAAGATAGCGGCCGCCTGCTACATGTGCGGCTGGCACTGCACCCAGGCACCCTTTCTTCCATGGGAAGGAGCTGGCCCTGTTTGGAGAAGCAGGAGTCCGCTGAGGCCACCATGCCAAAGACACTGGTGTCACTTGGGGCAGGAGCACAGGCCTGGGAGAGGTAGGAAGGTACTCCCGGCCCCTCCCTTGCTCCCATCTTTTGTCCCGCCTTTGCCCTCCTTTGCCCTCACCCTGAGGGTGGCCTTTCAGTCAGGCTGCCCCGGCAGGTTCTGGTTCTTCTAGAAGGCTTTTTCTCCCTGCTCCTCAGTGAGAGCAGGCTCGTCCACCTCTCCCTGATGCTCCCTGTGGATGACCTTGTTCCCATGTCTGCTTCTCCTCCCAGACCCGAGTCCCCTAGGGGCCCTGTGTGCACCTCTCTGAGGTAGGGACTGGAGAAAGGTGAGAGAGGAGGCAGAGGGGAAGGGAGAATGGAAAAGGGAAGGGAGTTAAACCCTTAACACAGCCTCCATTCCCTCAATCACAGAGGACCAGTATCTCAGTCCATTTGGGATGAGCTAACAAAATACCCGAAACTGGATAGCTTATAACAACAAAAATGTATTTCTTACCATTCTGGTTCTGGGAAGTTTAGATTCAACCACAGATTCAGTGTCTGTGGAGGCCAAATTCCTGACTCATGGCCAGCTCTAGCCACATCCTCCCCTGGTGGAATGAGAACACAAGGTCTCTGGGATCTGACCCTTATAGAAGGGCACTAATCCTGTGCTAGGGGCTCCACTCTCACCATCTAATGCCCTCACAGAGGCCCCGCCTCCTCACACTATTGCCTTGGGGGCTGGGACATCAACCAGTGAATCTGAGGAGTGAGGGAGCATAAGCAGACCACAGCAGTGAATGTGGAGCTTGGATGGTGGTCCAGGGCTGACCCCATGACAGCAGGCTGCAGAGGTCGGGGGATCTACCCTTGAGCTGGATTAAAAAGTCAGAAACCATCGCTTGTAGTGCTTTGATGAGAAGCACTTACAGGAAACAGCTAGGAAAGGAAACACAAGTGAAGCCCTCCCAATGGTGTAGATCATGTGTTTCCAGGGCTCTCACAAACTCCTTTCCCAAACTTAGCTCGGAGGCCAATGTTGGGGACAGGGCAAACATTGCAGTGATTAGGTAGCATTCTCTGCCATCCGTATTTTTATGACCCTCTCTCTTGGATGCCTGGCTTTACATAATATCAGAGAATCAAAGAGCAGCTGGGGGTGAAGGTTCTCTGAAGAGTTGAGTACCGATATTGTTTTGTGTGACAGAAGGGCAGGAAAGGGCCAGGCCTTGGCAGCTAAGGGCTTAGGTGCTGCTCATAGCTGAGGCCATTCTGAAGAAGCCCTCTGTGACTCTGCTCATGGTCTGTCCTCTGTACCAACAGCTGAGGATTTCTCTTTCTTACATGGTTCTCTTCCTCTCCCCACCCCACATTCCTCTTTAGCTAAATGGGAGATTGGCTTCAACAACAGAACAACTCAAGATCAGGACTTCTATCTGACCCTGGAGAAGAAGGTGCAGGTGCCCATGATGAACCATGAGGATCAGTACTTGTACTTCCTGGACAGGTACCTCTCCTGCACTGTGGTGGGCGTCCCCTATGAAGGCAATGTCACTGCCTATTTCATTCTACCCAACATTGGCAAGATGGAGCAGGTGGAGAATAGCCTGAGCACGAAAACACTGAAGAAGTGGACTCAGACTGTGAGGAGGAGGTACGCTTCTGATCACTCTGAGGCCAGCGTAACACTACTCATGCCCAGAGGGATCCATGCCCTGGGACCAGTGGTGCAGGGAAGGGGGCTCACCCAGTCAGCCGGTGAACTCCCTTCAAACCCAAAGACTTCCCATGAGGTCCTGGGACCTGGGCTGGAAGCTGAGTTCCCTAGGTGGCACCTCTGTCATCATCCCAAATCCGGGGCTTGTTAACTCCTTCCTAGGCAAGGAGCCAACAAGTGTGAGAAGCCAAGGAAGAGTGGCTGGAATACCAGGCTGGTGAGCCAGTGATCAGTTTAAGAAAGGTTCTTTCCTTATCCTAGGCGGCTCAATCTTTATCTTCCCAAGTTCTCCATTGAGGGTTCCTACCACCTGGAAAAAATCTTCCCAAAGCTGGGGATCAGAGACATCTTCACCCAAGGGGCTGACCTGTCTGGCATCTCCAAGTACCCCAACATCCAGCTGTCTCAGGTGGGTCTGGAAGCTTCTGTGTACCTCTTTCAAAAATAGATATTTTGTTCCTTTCCTTTGCATTTCTTTCCTTTCCCTGCCACCTCCTCTTTCATCCAAGGAGGCAAAGATTTTCCTTTGTGGAATGTTTGCCTTACAGTGGGAAAGCCACACCCTCTACCATGCCTGGGGGAAGGAACCCTGTATTAAGCAATCAAAACTCAGACTCTGGGGCAAGCTCCTTCTCTTCCAACATGCTCTTGAGCCTCTAAGCCTCCTTTCTCTAGTCTATAAAATGGGAGAGTCATGCCCCACTCTGAGATATCCTGTGCAAGTCACCTCCAGACACAGCACCTGGGACAGGATAACTGTCCAATGTTCCATTTCCTCCTGTTTTGTGACTCATTGGCACAGATGCTTTGACATTGGTGCTCACAGGCAGAAGGCTTTTTGTTGCCCTTGAAGCCTTCTCCTGGCAGCTCAGTGATGCTCTGTGTCTCTTACAGATGGTGCACAAAGCCATGGTGGAGGTGGACGAGTCGGGAACCAGAGCGGTTTCAGGCACAGGGACAGTCTTCAGCTTCAGATCAGCCTATCCAAACTCTAGAAAGATCACATTCAATAGGCCCTTTCTGATGGCCATTTTGGAGAACATGACCACCCTCTTCTTTGGCAAAGTGACCCAGCCCTGAGGTAGGCCCTGATCCCAGGCCTGCACAGCGGGAGGCAGGGTTGTGTCATGGCCCATCTGTCTGCGGCAGCTAGTGATTTACCTAGGTTTAGTTACTAATGAGGTGTCAAATAATCTTAAGAAGGTTGATCGGCTGATAATCACTTCCTGTCACACAGTTGCAAGACATAGGTGCCTTGGAGAAACTTTTAAAAGTGGAGATTAGCACAGAGGGCCAGCAGAGTCCAGGGAACTGGTCTGAACCCACACAGCCTGTTCTTAGCAGCACAGACAGGCCCAGAGTCCAAGACACTGATGCTCAGTCCAATGCCAAAAAGCCCTGTGAGAGGGTGGCCCAGCAGGTAAGGCCCACCAGGAATCACATTTTCAAGCCTGGTCTCCCATCTATGAGGAGCAGCAGCTATGAGTTCATCACGGTGTAGAAGAATACCGGAATGGGTGGGCAATGGGGCTACTGTCCCTGCTCTAACCACCTATGTGACACTCGCATAACACTGTCTCTCTGGACCTCAGATTCTTCATTGTAGGTTCAGGGCATAGTTCCCATCCGAGGCCCCTTTGATATCATTAAAAGGCTGAGCTGTTCCATGCCAATCCCGTCAGTTTCAGTACACTCGGGAGCCACCCATGAGTTAAATAAAGCATTTGGGCATCAGGTTGGAATCGTCCCGAGGTGGGATTGTGCCACCTCCCAGGTCTGGCCAGTGTGGGAGAATGGAGGTCTACGGCAAGCAGCAGAGGGTCAATTGCAGACACTGTGGCTCACTTTCTGAATTTTATGTCAACTGCTGCAATAAAGCATTTTGCAAAGACTGGGTGCCATTGGCTTGATGGAGGCGGCTCCTGGAAGAGAGGTGTGAGTGCTCGCCATGTTCCAGGTGGTAGAGCCAGGGTCGGGTGAGGGATTTTGGGCCCTGGGTCACCAGCTTGGCCACGGGCTGTTGTGGAGAGACAGAGGCTGGTGCCTGTGGGTCTTGGCCACAGTGTTCTGTGCGTTTTAAAATTTCCTTTCTTTTTTCTTTTATTTATTTAAAAATTTCATAACAAAATAAGAGAATAACCATAGTTAATACACTGTGTTTTCTTATTTTCAAAGTATGTACTCAGAGACAAAAGAGATTCCCTCCTACAGGAAGAAACAGATAATAGCACAAAACTTTCTTTTCAAAGAACTGAGCGGAACTGGTAGTGTAAATTAAGCAAATTATCATATATTTTAAAATATTTTTGATACAGCAGAGTAGGTGATTTAGGAAATCATTTGGACTTCTCCCTACTTCCTATTTATCTTCTATTCTGTTCTCTATTTGTATATGCACATTTTGATTTTCTCATATAAGAGAAGCCATGCAGTATTTAATCTTGTGCATCTGATTTATTTCACTGAACATTATGGTCTCGAGGTGCCTCACCTCCTCCGAGAGCCTCAGGCTTTTCTTTACAGCAGAGCAATGCTCCATCGTGTGTAACTTTCCCGTCGTCCTTCTCCACTCATCTGCTGATGGGCGTGTGTGCTGTTTTCAAAGCTTAGCTATTAGAAATTGTGCCACTAGCAGCACAGGTATGTGTATCCCCTGTCACACGACAATTTGAACTATTCTGGGAAGCTATCTAGAGGGGGCGTAGTTGGGTCAAATGGAATTTCTATGCTTAGTTCTTGAGGAGCCTCCAAACTGATTTCCATGCTGGTTGACACAGTTTACATTCGTGCAACCATGTAGAACAGTTCCTTGGTCCCCACGCCCTCACCAGCATTTGTTGTTACTAGATGTTTTTGATGACAGCCATCCCTCTTGGGGTGTGATGGTATTTCAGTGTAGTGTTAGTTTGCATTTCTCTAAGGCGCCCCTGTGATTGATCCAGCTAAGTTCCTTCCCTTCATTACGGCGATTCGGCTCTTCCTCAGTCAGTGAGATGCCTTAAGGAGCTGATAACGGGTGAGTGAATTCTCCTTCATTGTGCTTCAAGCCATTCCCTAGTTAGCTGCCTCCACAGTGCCTGCCACCCTATTCTGCAATTTCTTACCATGCTTTCTACGTTGTGAGGATGTGGAATGCATTTCTAAAAGCTAATGGTAGCAGTACCGCCATTGCTCCAATCCCAGGGGCTGGACGGTATCAAATATGGCTGCCCTCTAGAAGTGACAAGCCCACAACCCTAAATTCTATCTCCCAAAGCATTGAGCCTATGCTGGCCACTTTGCACTTGTGATCTCACTTACCCTCCAACAACCCAACGAAGTCTGTTGTTGCCCTCATTTTATAGAGGGAAACGGTGACGGTGAGGACCCAGACTGAGACCCCAGATGACACTTACTTTGGCCAATGACAGAGCAGTCAGACCCAGACATCATGTCTGCATTTGTGCTTTGATTCAGCCCTCTTCCCATAGGCTCAGCCCTCTCCTGTGTGTCTGTCTAGGGTAAGGTTTAGTTTTTCTTGGCAAATACCTCTCCTGTTCACCCAGCCAATCTAAGGCCAGGGAAGACCTTGCCTAAGTTCCATGAACAAGGCCAAAGTCCAGTGCTCGGTCCAAAGTTGACCGGGCAAACAGGCAAAAGTAGTTACTGTGTGGAGGACCGGGTGGGATCCAGTGTATCCAACCTCCACTGCACGTCACACGTCACAGTGCTGTCCTAGGGGTTAGCGTGGGCTCTTTAACTCAGCTGCCACATGATCCTGGGATGTACAGAATGATAAAGCAGCTCAAAGAGAGAAGCTGAAATGTGAGAAGCCAAGGAAGGTTTTGCAGAAGGTGGGGTGCTGGGTTGGTCTTAAAGAATGAGTAGAGCAGATTTGAGAACAGGCAAAGGACTTCCTGGTGGAGGGAACAGCTGGAGAAGAGTACGACATGGCATACAGGGAAGTCACAGAAACTTCTCTCAACAGTGTAAGGAGAACAAGGAGGAAGGAAGTGGCCCTGCTGGTAACCAACCTTTGGTCTGTTCTCTTCTATCTCTTCCTTCCTTTCTTCCTTCCTTCCTTCCTTCCCATACTGGGGATGAAACTCAGAACCTTGGACTTGCAAGGCAGGTGGCAGCACCACTGAGCTACATCCCATCCATCACTTCCTTTTATCAGTGTCACCATAGTTTAGCATCCATACCACACTGCAGGCCTCAGACCCCTTCCTGTTCCTCTCCCATCTGCACCTCAATAGATGCCTCCACCCAGCCCTGCAGAAGGTGCTCACACCTTCTCTAGGGCTTCTGAGCCACCTCTGAGGACAAGCTGCATCCCTGGGCTGCATGAAGAAAAGTGATGGTCTATGGGGTTCCTCACAGATAGGTTTCCCCTGGGGACTCTCATTCTTAGCTCCTGAATTCATTTCCTAGTGCTGCCATAACAAAGTCCCACAGTCAGGGTGGCTTAAGCAACAGAAATTGATTTGTTCGCAGTTCTGGAGGCAAGAAGTCCAAAGTCAAGATGCCAGCAGGGCTGGCTTCCTCTGAGGTCTCTCTCCTTGGGTTGGGGTGGCCACCTGCTCCCTTCATGTGCATCTGTGCCTACGTTTTCTCTTCTTATTGAGATGCTAACTACATCAGAATAGGGCTGTACTTATTTTAACCAAATCATTTCTTTAAAGGCTCTGTCTCCAAACACAGACACATTCTGAGATATCAGGGGCCATAACCCTTGCGTGCAAGTTTGGAAGGGAAACATAATTCAGCCGGTGGGGTTACCTTACCTTTCAACTTCCTGAAGCTTTTGCCAAATTCATTCTCATTTCTAAAAAGCCAGTTTTTGTTGCCCTCTGACAACATAGATTTTAGGACCTCCTTTGGATAAACTGCAACCACATGCTGAAAAAATCATGCACTGCTGAAGTCCAGCACCCTGTGCAGTGTCAGGCTGTGGCTGGAGGTGGTGCGTGCCTGGAATTCCAGTCATCTGGGGGGCTGCAGCAGGAGGATTGCAAGTTCAAATATAGGCTGGGCAATTTAGTGACTTAGATACTATGTCAAAATAAATAAATAGGGCTAGGGATATAACCCAGTGTGAAGGTCCTGGGTTCAGTCCTCAGTACCATCACCAAAAAATAGCCCCAAGCCTCTTTTCCCATCTCTCCTTGCAGTAATCCAGCAGAGAGACTATGATCTTGACCTTCACAGGAAACACTGTCCACCCTCTGTGAGTAGCCACGACAGACCGCAGGCATAGTTAGCTCACTGTGGCAGGTGCTGGAGGTGAGTGAAGAAAGCCAGACCCCTTCCCTCAGGCTGTGGACATCCTAGTGTGGAGAAACAGGAAAATGAAAACAAAGGATGAAACAGAAAAGCGAAATACAGTTGAGCACACGTGCCACTGTGGGGTGCGACTTTCACCTAGGAACAAGACACAGGAAGTGAAAAGCAGTCATGTTTTCCCAGCAGACACTACCATGGCCCGGGGACGGAGCTGGATGTCCCCAGCAGGGACTCATGTTCACATCTTGTGTCTCTGAATCCCCGTGTGGTCTTTCCCTTATCCCACGGCTCAGTGTAGTCATGGGAGTGGTGGCTACTCCCAAGCAGAGGGGCACCCCGAGAGCCGGGTGGGGAAGAAAGGCAAGAACACCCAGAGCCCCCAGGGAGATGCAGTGAGTAAAGGTGACGCTGGACACTGGCCCAGGAAATGGGCGAAATCCACTGAATCCCAGGGTGTTGCAGTGCTTGTTTCTTAGTTTGGACACGTGCTGTGGTCCTGGGAGATGTGTACGTTTACGTTGGGGGAGTTGGGAGAAGCCTGACAGGAACTCTCTTTTATGTCTGTACAACTTTTCTGAAAATCCAGAAGGACCTCAAAATTAAAAAAAATAATAATAATAATAAATAAAATGTTCCAAAATGACACACACACACAAAAACACAAACAAACAAAACAGAAAGAGGCCAGGAGTGGAGCTGGGGGTCCAAAAGGCAAAACTAGGGAACCAGTTAGGGAGAACACTGGGCACAGAGATGATTTGGGGGAGCCTTCTTAGCCAGGGCCTCAGCAGAGTCTCTCCAAGAGGTGGCACAGATGCCGAGACCTGAGGGACAGCAGGAGTGGGCTGGGCCAAGACAGAGTGTGGGCTCCGTGAGCCACTTCCCAGAGGTGGGGGAGGTGTGCGGCTCACAAAGGTGAGGGCAACTGTGGCTGGGGCTGCGAGGAAGGGAGAGAGTCCCATTATACTGGGTTTCCAAGAGAGTGAAGACAATACTGAAGATGGCTTTTGTAAGGGATGAATTTTACTACAGCTTACTAGCAGGCACTAACAAGGAAGCTTAAGTCTTAACTATGATTCACTAATGAGGGAAAGTCCATAGGTGGTGGGTCCAACAGCACTTCCTAGCAAAATCCTATGACAGGGGCATTTAGTACAACAGCCCAACCTGACTAGATCCTGTGGGAGGGGCACACAGGTCAACAGCCCACCTGGCAAAATCCAGAAGGTTCATGTGCCTGTTAACAGCATGTGGCCAATTAGAAGAACTACTCAGCAACAGCTCTCTAGGTTACTGAAGGGATGGACTTTTATAAACTAAATTATAAAGCAGTAAGATCATTAGTTGTCTTTGTTCAGTTGTATGTCAGTTGTTCAATTGCATTCCAAGGAAAGACCAACTTAGCATATTGGCAGGAAAGTAGAGCCTACCAATACTAGTAGTTGCCCAGTTCCCCGCATCCTTCAGACAATACTTATCTGGATATCTAGGTTCTGTCCACTCAGAATGGTCCTTTGACTAGGAAGGAGTCTTAGGAAAGGAAATGAGAGTGTTTCAGAGACAAGGCGCCAAATGTTTGTTTTTCTCAGGAACAATATACATGCAATATTGTTTTTAATCCTGTTT